CTGAGTGGCTGGCCCTACCCATTGGAAAAGGAGGTGAAAAGTATCATGCCCACAGACAAGCAAACAACAAAGAACACACAGCCCGCCTGCTCAGACATAACCAAATAAAACAAACAAACAAAAAAAACAGGATGAAACAAACAAGTCTACAGTCAATAAATGAAGAAAATAACTAAAGAATGTCTTTAAGACAGGAGACAATATCAAAACACATTAAAAAAAACAGCACAGGATGGTTCCAGTAGGCATCCAAAATAAAACACCAGATGACTTTCCAGTAAAAGAAAAGGAAATAGGACTACCTGATAGGGAATTCAAATCTCTAACATTCAGAGCTATCCAAGAGTTGAAGCAAAAAGCTGACAAAAATGAGGAAAAAATAGACAAACTCATGGAAAAGGCAGACAAATTCATGTAAAATACAGATTAAAAAAATGGAAGAATTCAGGAAAATAATATAGGAAAAAAATGCCAAAATAAATTCACAACTAAAAATCATACAAAAACAACAATTAGAAATCCAAAAGATTAACAACAAGGTTTCAGAAATGGAGAGTGTCACAGAAGCTCTGAGAAGCAGGAGTGAAACAATGGAAGACAGGATCAGCAAAACTGAAGACAAACACCTGGATACAACTCTGAGAAAAAATCAGAAAAAAGAACGAAGAAAAATGAAGAAACACTGAGAATTATGTGGGACACAATCAAAAGGAAAAATGTACAAGTGATCAGAGTTCCAGAATGGGTAGAAAATAGAAAACACAGAGAGGATCATTGAAGAACTGCTGACAGAAAACTTCCCTAATATCGTGAAAGATGAAAAGCTGACCATCCAAGAAGCTCAACGAACCCCATACAGGATAGACCCTCTAAAGAAAATCACCAAGGCATATGATAATCACACTCACTAAAAACAAAGACAAACAAAGAATCCTGATAGCAGCTCAAGAAAAATGAAAAGTCACATACAGAGGGGAAATAATAAGACTAACCTCTGATTACTTGGAAGAAACCATACACGCAAGAAGACAATGGGATGACATATAAAACCTTGAAAGAAAAAAATTACCAACCAAAAATAATATATCCCGCAAAATTCTCGTACAAATATGATGGTGAAATCAGAACATTTCCAGATAAACAGAAATTAAGAGAATATGTAAAAACCAAACCAAACTTACAAGAATTATTAAAGGGAGTTCTCTGGTTTGAGAACAAACATCAGACGACAGCCTGAATCTAGGATGCAAGATCGTACCAGTCAGATACCAACCTAGGAAATGAACTCTCAAAGACTATTCAAAACCAAAAGATTCACAACAGGGAACCAGAGAGGTTAATCTGTAAATGACGACAACATCAGAACAAAAAAAGAGGGAATAAACAGTGTAGGTATAGAACTTTCTAATGGAGAGGAAAGCAAGGTGACACCAAGTAATAATAGACTGGTTCAAACCGAGGAAGATACGGGTAAATTTCAAGGTAACCACAAAGAAAGTTAATAAATTTACTCATCAAAATAAAGAAGAAAAACAAAGTCTCAGTAAACACAAAATCTACAAAAACAAAGATGAAAAAAACATCCACAAACAAAAGGAACTCAGCACAGGCAAGTAACAGGAACAAAGAAAACGTCAGCACCACAAAAAAAAAAAAAAACAAAATCACAGCAATAAACTCACACCTATCAATAATTACACTGAACATAAATGGCCTAAATGGACCCATAAAGAGAGAGTAATAGAATAAAAAAACAGGATCCATCAATATGCTGTCTACAAGAGACACACCTTAGAGACAAAGATGTAAATTTGTTAAAAATCAAAGGATGGAAAAAATATATCAAGCGAACAGCTACCAAAAAAGAGAAGGAATGACAATACTAAACTCAGATAAAACAGACTTCAAAACAAAGTCCACCATAAAAGACAAAAAAGGGCACAATATAATGATTAAAGGGACATTCCATCATGAAGACATAACCATAATAAATATCTCCACACCCACCAACAGGGTTCCAAAATACACAAAACAAACTCTGACAGCAATGAAAAGAGAAATTGACAGTTCCACAAGAATAGTAGGAGACTTGAATAATCCACTCTTGGTGAAGGACAGAACATCTAGAAACTCAACAAAGATACAGAAAATCTAAGCCCGCAATGAGTCAATCTGACCTCATAGACATATATAGAACACTCCATCCTACAGCTGCAAAGTACACATTCTTTCCCGATGCACAAAGAACGTTCTCCAGAATAGACCACATCTTAGGCCACAGAGCAACCCTCAACAAAACCAAAACACTAAGATAATACAAAGCATCTTCTCTGACCACAACACCATCAAAGCAGAAATTAACAACAGGAAGAGCAAGGAAAAAAAAAATCAATTGCATGGGAACTGAATAACACCCTCCTTAAAAACCACTGGGTGAGAGAATAAATGAGAGATGGAATCAAAAAATTCCTGGAATC